GGGAGGATCTTAACCTGCGTCTGTCTGGAGTGGGAGCATCATGGCGACTCACTCACTAAGCTTCTTTTTCCCAGCATTCTCTTCTGTCTACTCCGCCTACCTAATTTTCTGTCCTATGAGGGCCGAGGCAGTTTCTTTATTATTACAAGACCCACCTCCATCAGATATGTGAGTATTGAGTGCTCAGAAATAGAGATCAGAATTTAAAGAAATGTAGAAAAGTGGGACAAAATTTAAATCAGGAAGAAAAAAATTGTAAAAAATTTATATAAATGCGATAGGGAAAAAGTATTCAGTTACATATGTTGATATCTAAAGGAAGTTATAAGAGTAGGACAGAAACAATGGCAGAGACATTAGATCTATAAGCATGATAGATGCAAAATTACAACTTTTATCATTTGCTAAATATGTAGGAGGTCCTTTTGATGGAGGAGGGAAAAGGTGTCTATGTTTTACTTTCATTGGTTAATAAAGAAACTGCCTTGGCCCTGATAGGACAGAAAATTAGGTAGGCAGAGTAGACCAAACAGAATGCTGGGAGAAAGAAGCTGAGTCAGGCAGTCACCATGATTCTCCCACCCGACACAGCTGCAGGTTAAGATCTTCCCTGCTAAGCCACCTCATGGGCTACAGAGATTATTAGAAATGGGTTCTATCAGTATGTAAGAGTTAGCTAATAAGAGGTTGGAACTAATGGGCCAGGCAGTGTTTAAAAGAGTACAGTTTCTGTGTAATTATTTCGGGTATAATGCTAGCCGTGCGGGTGGCCAGGTGCCAGGAATGTAGCCCGCCACTCCTATTAAAACATCCTTCTGTATTTGTATTGCTTTCATTGGCTGAATAAAGAAACTGCCTTGACCTTTTGATAGGGTGGAACTTAGATAGGCAGGGAGGACATAACTGAATTCTAGAAGGAAGAAGGCAGAGACAGGCAGATGCCATGAATTTCCGGCCTTAGATGGATATAGGTTAGAATCTTGCTGGTAAGCCACAGTCACATGGTTCTACACAGATTATTATAAACGGGTTAATCAAGATGTGAGAGTTAACCAATAGGAGGCTAGAGCTAAGGGACCAGGCAGTAATTTAATTAATACAATTCCTGTGTGTTTATTTCGGGGGTTAAGCTAGCAGGGTGGTGGGATGCAGCCTGCTCGCCTCATACTACATAAATGGGTAGAAAAAGTGAAGGAAAATGACTTTTTGCCCAAAACAATCACCAGTTTACTGCTGAGATTGAAGAGCCACGTGTGCACAGTAACCAGATAATCTAACACACTTGTGTGTGGGGGCGGAGCAAGCAGGAGATAAAAGTAAGTTTAGAGAACAAATTTAACCTCACATAGTCAGTACCCCAGAGTCAGTCAATAGCACAGAGGAAAGGATTCAGAAATTCTCCTAATTTTATGATTTACAAGTTAAAATAAAAAAGGTAGTTAAAAATCCACCCACAAGAACTTGAAAAAGGCAGGCTGGCAGGTGGAGAGAGCCTGTGTCCTATCCCCTCCAGTGAAGTGCAGCTTCAACTGGAAACTGAAAGACAGGTTTGAAATAAGGTAGCCTCTGAGAGCTGCAGCTTCAGGTCAATTTGATATAAATAAAAAGGTTAAACATGTTTGTTTTCCATTTCACAATTTTGTTTCTTTATCAAAAGTCTGCTGTTTACAGGCATGTGAATTAGTATCCAATGTGGATTGATTTCAGTACTGTGGATCTGTAGTGAAGTTTTAAAGTCATAGATTGTGATGCATTCAGAACTTCCTTGATTATATAGGATTTTAAAATTGATTAAGTTATCCTGAGTTTTTATTTTTTTCTTATAAAGTTGATAATTGTTCTTTCAAGGTCTATGAAGAATTTTGTTATAATTTTAATGGGCATTTGCGTTGAATCTGTAGATTGATTTCAGTAAGACTGTCAATTTTGCTGTGTTGGCTCTGTCTTAGCAAGAGAATAGGAGATCTTTCCCTTTTTTTTTTTTTGATGTCTTAAATTTCTTTCTTCAAAGATTTAAAGTTCTTATTATACAGGTTTTTCAATTTCTGTGATTAGAGTTACTCAAAGATATTTTATGATATTTGCAGCTATTGTATAGAATGATATAGCTCATTTATCATATATATAGAAGAGGTCTATTTTGGTTTGTTTTCAGATCCTGGCTATGATAAAGTATTACTCCTGTGAACATAGTTCGGCACATGTCCTTATGGTATGGTTGAGCATCTTTCGTACATAGACCCAAAAGGGGTATTGCTAATTCTTGGACAATTATATTTTCTCAATTCAAAGGTCAGAAAAATAATCTGGTATTGACAAAGATACTTGGAAAGTTGGTGTTGACTGACAATACTGAAAATTATGGTACTGGCAAAGATACTTGGAAAGTTGGTATTGACTGACAATACTAAGAATTATGGTACTGGCAAAGATATTTGGAAAAGTTGGTATTGACTGACAATACTGAGAATTACGGCACTGATAAAGATATTTGGAATGTTGGTATTGACCAACAGTGCTAAGAATTTTGATACTGACCTTTCCACTGCCAAGAAAAGTTTGACACACCCTGTAAATGTTGGGAGTTAATATACATATGTTAAAAATTTTAGATTTTGATACAATGTAAAAGATTTAAGAGCTGCATAAACTAGCTGAAGAAGCATTCTCAACTCTGGTGGTTCTCTTCTCCTTTAAGTAGTATACTGTAGCCTTTGGGAGCATGATTATTCATAAAGCATTATAATTTATCCTGACAAGAAAGTATGGCTCTAAGACACAGGGCCCAAAAGTATCTCTCTCCATTAATCTCTTTTCTTCTCAGAGATCAAAAGTCAATGACGGATTTGAAGCTTCTTCTCCCCAGATGCCTAGGACAGGAGCTCACATATTTGAATGCCTGTTCCAAAGATGGAAAATTTTGGGTAAATGAAAAGGACTTTGCCCAAGCCAGGCATGATCATTCTATCCTGTTGCAGAAGCACAGGTTTTATTAAAATTAATAAGACAGAGTGGATTGTAGGCCAATATTTCTATATGGTGTGGCTGCCAGGCTCTAAAGCCATAGGCCCAACCTGAGGATGGACACGTAGCCTCCCAGACAAGCCGTCGCAGCCTAACAAAAGGTCAGAATGTTGTTGCTCATTCTTTGTAATTTGGAGGATGCCTGATAGAAATGCTAATTCAAACCTATGTGACAGCTAGCATACACAGCAGACAGGTAGCTGTGGATGTGACCGAAAGCCATTCACCTCATTATAGGGGAATGTTAATATATTTCCCCTAAGTTAAGTTTTGGTATAAAGACTGTTTTGGAGAATAAAGTGAGAGGAATTCTTCAGGATGTGAACTCAGGACTTCATGAGGGACTACTGAGAATCTCCCTTCCGATAAAACCATGTGAGTTGGGTCTTTAATTCCGTGCCTCCACCCCGGTCCAGAGAGAGAGAGTTTATGTTGGGGTCTGGTCGAGAGAAATAATTGAGGGTCTGGGCTAGCATCGGACCCTGATAACTATAAGAGTTTTGCCTATTGCAATTCCTTAGGCAAACCTTGCTGCTGCTTCGATTTCATTAAATGTTTTTTTTTTGTTCACACATTGATTTCTCCTATAAAAGTCTGATAATTGCAAGATGTAACACTGAGCTCGAGCCAGCTAAGATAAAGAACTTCCCAAGTAAACATGAACAGTGAATTTGCAATCAGGAAAAAGCAGAAGAAAAAAATACAAAGAGCCAACAAATCTTTACATGTTAACCCTTTGTTGAAGTTTTAAAAAGTCATTTGCTCCCATTGTTTTCCTACCCATTGGGAATGAAAGCCAAGCTTCCATGGGGTGAGGCTTTAATCATCACATTACACCCCCAGCTCACTCGTCAAGTTCCCAGCTCAGCCGCACAGTGGCAATTGTCAGACATACTCCTTTCTTTAACTCTTCATTTTCCCCTTTTGTTTTTTATAACATCTTCAAAAAGAGAAACATCATCTTGTTGATTTTGACAACTACATCTATTATGTTCCATATAGTGAAATGCTCTTTCAGTATTGGATGAGTCGTTTTATATAGAGCTAGCAAGAGTAAAATTACAAATAAAAAGTAGGCAAGTAGAGAGAAGTGGCAAAAAAAAAAAAAAAAAAAAAAAAA